ATATTGCAGAAACTATGTAGCACAAAATTATACCTTAAGGATATCCAAATATCTTTTACAGTTTGGTGCAGACCACACGACAGATTGAACCATTTTCAATTATCAAATTAGTCAATTAAATTGTATGAGAAAAAATTGAATAAAATCATGAATATTCAGCGTCATTCAAATTACATTTTACAGAATTATTATTTTTTTAAACATTCGTTGTTTATAAATGAATAATTGCAATTGTTTAAACTTTCGGAAATCTCATTTTTTAGGCATGAATTTGATTTCTGGTAAAATTCTAAATATCAATAAATTTGTTACGATTCCAAACAAATGATTGTTACGGTGGAAAATTCTTTGTTCATAAATTATTTATAGAAAATGCTCGTAATTTTAAAAAATTGTAATTTTTAAAACTTTCCAATTTTTTTTTATTTTTAGAATGTTGTCTAACGGTTAAATATCGACATTCAAATTCAAACCTGAAAAGTTTAAATAATAAAACCATTATAAAATGTCCGGAAACTTGGGGGGAAATGGGGCTCAAATGAAAGCTCTCAAATTTGTCAAATTTGATCAAATTTGCCAATTAAATTGTATGAGAAAAAATTGAACAAAATCATGAATATTTAGCGTCATTCAAATTACATTTTACAGAATTATTTTTTTAAATATTCGCTGTTTATAAATGAATAATTGCAGTTGTTTAAACTTTCGGAAATCTCATTTTTTAGGCATGAATTTGATTTCTGGTAAAATTCTAAATATGAATAAATTTGTTACGATTCCAAACAAATGATTGTTACGGTCTAAAATTGTTTGTTCATAAATTATTTATAGAAAATGCTCGTAATTAAAAAAAATTGTAATTTTTAAAACTTTCCAATTTTTTTAGATTTTTTGAATGTTGTCTAACGGTTAAATATCGACATTCAAATTCAGACCTGAAAAGTTTAAATAATAAAACCATTGTAAAATGTCCGGAAACTTGGGGGGAAATGGGGCTCAAATGAAAGCTCTCAAATTTGTCAAATTTGATCAAATTTGCCAATTAAATTGTATGAGAAAAAATTGAACAAAATCATGAATATTTAGCGTCATTCAAATTACATTTTACAGAATTATTATTTTTTTAAACATTCGTTGTTTATAAATGAATAATTGCAATTGTTTAAACTTTCGGAAATCTCATTTTTTAGGCATGAATTTGATTTCTGGTAAAATTCTAAATATCAATAAATTTGTTACGATTCCAAACAAATGATTGTTACGGTGGAAAATTCTTTGTTCATAAATTATTTATAGAAAATGCTCGTAATTTTAAAAAATTGTAATTTTTAAAACTTTCCAATTTTTTTTTATTTTTAGAATGTTGTCTAACGGTTAAATATCGACATTCAAATTCAAACCTGAAAAGTTTAAATAATAAAACCATTATAAAATGTCCGGAAACTTGGGGGGAAATGGGGCTCAAATGAAAGCTCTCAAATTTGTCAAATTTGATCAAATTTGCCAATTAAATTGTATGAGAAAAAATTGAACAAAATCATGAATATTTAGCGTCATTCAAATTACATTTTACAGAATTATTATTTTTTTAAACATTCGTTGTTTATAAATGAATAATTGCAATTGTTTAAACTTTCGGAAATTTCATTTTTTAGGCATGAATTTGATTTCTGGTAAAATTCTAAATATGAATAAATTTGTTACGATTCCAAACAAATGATTGTTACGGTGAAAAATTGATTGTTTATAAATTACTTATAGAAAATGCTCGTAATTTTAAAAAATTGTAATTTTTAAACCTTTCTAATTTTTTTAGATTTTTAAAATGTTGTCTAACGGTTAAATATCGACATTCAAATTCAGACCTGAAAAGTTTAAATAATAAAATCATTGTAAAATGTCCGGAAACTTGGGGGCAAATGGAGCTCAAATGAAAGCTCTCATCGGCTACAAAACTGGAAAAGCATTTCACTGGAGAAAAAGTAGCCAAAGTACTTGAATATCCCCAAACCCTCAAAAATCCCTAGAATTGAATTTTCCGCTGTCGAATATTCCGCTAGTTTGAGCTTCATCTGAAAAACGACATAGGAACGGACGAAATATTTTTTTGCAAACCATTGAGATATTTAATAGAGGTCTGGACCGTTTGGTCCGCACAGTCATCGTTGGGGTTGGCATCCCCCTCATCGTCTCGTTTTGCCAGTATCGATCTCATGGCTCCCCACCAGTTTGAGCAAATGAAAGAGGGGTGAAGGCGGCCCACCACCCCTATGCGCGCAAAACTGTCTGCAACCCCCCTAGCCGGTTCATGTGCCCATGTGTACGTATAACTTTTGTTCTCTCTTTCGCTTTAGTCGTTCTCTTATTCCATTGCGGCCGTGCTCCTCTAAAGGGGTAAAAAAAAGGGGGAACGATGAAGACAGAAGAGAGAGTGAGAACGAAGCGAGGAAAACAGGCGCGCATGTAAAAATAGTAATATAAGGCCAACGTTCGAAAAACTTGACAGTGGGGTTGCGTTTTCAACGTAATCACCGCCCCTTCTCTAATGGTTTCTCTGTCTCAATTTCCAATTAAATTCCTCATTCAAATCACGCTTCAATTTTTACAGTTTGCAAAAGGTACTGCAGCAACATAAATAGGGTTACATAAATTTTTGGCATGTGTTATAATGAAACTCTGGCCTCGACATATTGTCAAAGTTTCACGAGAGGGGGAGAATAGAAAAGGCATTCATTGAATGACGACAAAAATCATTCGTCAGAGTCGTGCCTGCGAATTTCGAAAAGATGAAGATTAAGCATTCCTGAAGTTGTATAATTTTCTAACGTCTTTTCGGGCTCGCTTGACCTTGACAAAGCGGCAAGAGAGCGGTAGAAAACACAAATTTGCGAGGTGAAAGTACACGAGAATAAGAATAGATTTTTTTTAGTTCAAATTTTTCGAGTGAATGAGAATCGCTCGGAGCGATTGATAAATGAGGATAGAAAATAGAAATTTTTTGGAGAAAAAATATTAAAATAGGAGGAAATTTCCGGAAAAATTGCAGTTTTTCAAGTGAACCAAGTCATTTTGAAACGATTGATAAACTAAAATAGAAAAGTTCGGAAATTTTTGGAAAAAAACTCTTGACATCGGAGAAAAGTTTCGGAAAAATCAAGATATTTCGAAACGATTGACAAATAATATAGAAAATGTCGTAAATTTTAAGAGGAAAAAAAATATTAAAATAGGACAAAATTCTTGGAAAAATGACGAATAATAATAAATAGTAGTTTCCCAAGCGAATCAAGATATTTTGACGCGATTGATAAATTGGAATCGAAAATCTCGCAGAAAATATCGAGAAAAAAAATTTCAAACCGGAAAAATTCTCAGAAAAATCGGGGACAGATGGCTAAATAGTAGCCGATTAATAGTAATAATGATAATAATAATGGTTTTCCGAGTTAATCAAGGCATTTCGAAGCGATAGATAAACTAAAATAGAGAATGTTGTAAATTTAATGAAAAAAAAAAATTAAAATAGGAGAAAATTCTCGGAAAAATGACTAATAATAATAAATAATAGTTTTGCGAATAAATCAAGACATTTCCAAGCGATTGATAAACTAAACTAGAAAATATCGTAAATTTCAGGAGAAAAAAATTTTAAAATAAACGAAAATTCTCGGAAAAATAATGTGTAAACGTCTAAATAGTAAAAATTGTTGGAGGGAATTTATTTTTAATAGTTTTACGAATAAATCAAGACATTTCCAAGCGATTGATAAACTAAACTGGAAAATATCGTAAATTTCAGGAAAAAAAAATTTTTAAATAAAAGAAAATTCTCGGAAAAATAATGTGTAAACGTCTAAATAGTAAAAATTGTTGGAGGGAATTTATTTTTGGTCGAAGGCTGCAACCGAGGGCTGGGTTTTACACTGCAACTCCGTACCAGGATACTTCCTGCGGTGTGCATATGGCATGGGGATCTGGCCGTGCTCAACCCAAGACTGGAACCGAGTGTACAAGAGGGGGGAAATGAGGGTTTTAAGTTCTCAGAAGGTTCCCACGGTCAAAAGTTTTCCCGCTTCGGTATATTCAATGGGGTAGGTCCCCGCACTTGAGGGTGTTAAAATCACCGGGGGAAAAATAATAAATGAAAAAGTACATGGACTAATTTTACCAGAAGAAAAGGCGTCCATCTGAATTCCGCCGAGAGGACAGAAGCCGATTGGACCCCGAAAATACTTTCACTTAATTAATTAATCAGCTATCGATCGCCCACTATCTCCTGATCCTCATTCTCCACCTGAATAAATTCCATCTTATCAAAAATACTGTTGAGGTAGGCAGAAAACCAGTTGTTGAAGAGCCCGGAGATGAATTAAGCATGCGACAACCCACGGTTTCCCGCTCGAAAAAAAAAAAAAATTATCGACCTGAACCGGCACAAAGCCTCGGCGAGAAAAAATGTGCTCGAAGAATTCCCAAGTGGTCCACACGGTTTCCCGCCCGCCACATGTCAGGCGGTTGTCACCCCCGAGGGGGAAAAAAAATTGACAATCACCTCTGTAAAAACAATAAATTCCCGGCCCATCACTTCCCGAGAATTCAATCAAAATAAACCCATCGCGTAATCCCCGAAATAGCTCGTCAATCCTCGAGAATTTCCACTCTCGTAGAGCAGACCTCACACTTGACAGAGAAATCCCCCGCTATTATCCTCAATCAGCCCCCGGGATGAACAATGGCGCGACTTGTTTGCCAAAGGGACAGCGTGGAATAATAAACATTGCAAAAAATGAAAGAAAAAAAAATGGCAGTGCCATTACAATGTATCGCTGCCGGGCCGGCAAGGCGGGATGGTATATTTTCTGGCGCCACATCGAAACGGGGCTCGCGTATCTCGAAGCACGAGAAACCAGCCCGCCTTTTTACTTTTTCACCATAACCGAAAAATAAAGCACGTTTTATCACCCGAAAATCATGCTAATAATGATTAATAATAAACCTACCGTATTGTTGACGCAACAAAATGACGATATAATCCGTTAAAATCACAAATTTAACACATACAACGAGGGAATAACGTTAATTTGGATATTGCCAGTCTCCAGACTACCATGCCATGTATAAAACGGATCACCGACACAGGGCCCCCTTCACGGAACTGAAGTTACGTTGACGGCAGACTCGTGAACAAAGACCACGCACGATTTTCAAATCCCATCTATCCCATTGGTGGCTGTTGGTCACGTGATATTCCCGCTCTGTCTCGGTAACTCGTATTGGCGGGCAATCAGGCAGGGTGAGTACACGAGTGAATTTTGCGATTATTGCGCGATTGCTGAGCCTGTGAGTCGAATTATCTCGGTTTATTACTTATTACTGGGGTCTGGGGTGGATTTATTGAAACTTTTTGGGGGTAAAAATGAACTGTTATTCCCGCCTAAGCGAGGAGAACGCTGATGGTGATCGCTGACCGGGTAAACAAACAGTGGCTCCACCGTAACACCGGACGAGGTTACCCTGCCATCCCTCGGGACAAAATGGCTGAGTCCAACGTTGGTGAGGCCTTATTAATTCGTTATACCGTTTATCCGCTATTGTTTTGTATCATGACTATTTTTTTTATGATTTTATGATTATTGTGGGGCCTTTGGGGGCGATTATTTTCACAAGAATTCACGACTCGGATTTTTTAAGTGGTAATTAATGTCGAGAGGGAAGGGAGATGGAAGATTGGACGAGTCTATTTTGGAGTGGGGGGAGGGAATGGAGTAGGGGACTGAGGGGTGGGGAATGTCGCGATGGGGCGGTTGGGGAGGGGAGGGGATTACTTCCCTCGATGGTCTTTTTAAAAATAATATATCATCTAACTATAAACGGAGTAAGGAACGTTGTACTCACTATAGCAGTTGAGATATACGATGATAGTGAGAATATAGCCCGTGCTGGGTTTTTTCGGTTCTCGGAATCAATTTAGTCGTTTGTTTTCGGGGGCTAATTTTTTTTTTAAACACTGGTTTTTCATCCACTTTCTTTTGTTGTATTTTCTTGGGGGGTTTCAACAGTAGACAGGTTTATCATAACATTCGTAATGACTAACGGTTCTCTGTATAATATAAAAATATCGGAATATTGTAATTTCTGGGAGAATTCGCCTTTCTTCATTTTTTTTTTCATTTGTTTTCGATTATGGGCCCTGATTTTTGCATTTTCAATTTCTTCATTCATCGAAGCTGAGGATCAGGCTCACAATTTTGGGATTTTGGATTCTTTGACTTCTTGATTTTTTTGGTTTCCCTCGAATTAATTGAGACGTCTTTTGGGTGTTAATTTTTTGTGTAAACACTGACTTTTCATCAATATTCTTGTTATATATTTTTTGGATTTTTGGGGGATTGTTCTCTTGGTGGATTGTTCAACAGTAAACTGCGGTTTATCATAACATTCGTAATGACTAACAGTTCTCTGTATAATATAAAAATATCGAAATATTGCGATTTCTGGGAGAATTCGCCTTTCTTTATTTTTTTTCATTTGTTTTCATTTATGGGCCCTGATTTTTGCATTTTCAATTTCTTCATTCCCCGAGGCTGAGGATCAGGCTCACAATTTTGGGATTTTGGATTCTTTGACTTCTTGATTTTTCTGGTTTCCCTCGAATTAATTGAGTCGTTAAATTTAGTGAGATGTCTTTTGGGTGTTAATTTTTTGCGTAAACACTGATTTTGCCTCAATTTTCTTGTGTTGTATATTTTTTAGATTTTTGGGGGATTGTTCTCTTGGGGGATTGTTCAACAGTAGACTGCAGTTTATCATAACATTCGTGATGACCAACGGTTCTCTGTATTATATATATCAAAATATTGCGATTTCTGGGAGGATTTCGTTATTCTTTTTTTTTCATTTGTTTTTGTTTATGGACCCTGATTTTTCCATTTTCAATTTCTTCATTCCTCGAAGCCGAGGATCAGGCTCACAATTTTGGGATTTTGGATTCTTTGACTTCTTGATTTTTTTGGTTTCCCTCGAATTAATTGATTTGTTAAATTCAGTGAGACGTCTTTTGAGTGTTACTTTTTTGTTTAAACACTGATTTTTTAGCGATTTTCTTTTGTTGTATTTTTTGTGGATTTTCTTCGGGGATTGTACAACAGTAGACTGCGGTTTATCATAAGATTCGTGATGACTAACGATTCTCTGTATTATATATATCAAAATATTGCGATTTTTTGAGGGATTCACCTCTCATTATTTATTTAATTCGTTTTGCTTCCGAATGGAAGCATTACAATCGTTCGATTTTCACATTTTCTAATTTTGCTTGGAAATGATCCAGAATGGTCTGAAACGTAAAAATACGAAGTTTGGGGACCATGTCTGTGCGTGACACTGTCCAGGCGGTGGTCATTTTTTCGTAAATTTGATAATTAAACGGGAATAATCATTCCAAAAAGTTTGAAATTTTTGCAGTTAATTGGTATAACTTGAGACTAACTCCATGCCAAACTTCAGCTTGTTTTTTTATTTATGGGGCACTGATTATAGCATTTTCAAGTCAGGCTCACAATTTTGAAATTTTGAATTCTCAGTCTTCTTCAATTTTTTTGTTTCCCTAGTTGTTTATCAATTTTTGTGTGTTATATTTTTTCTCTACTGAATTGATTTCTCATTATTCTACACTTTAGGCTTTGCATTATTGTAACATTTTGTATAAATAACGATTCTATATAAAAGATGTTAAAATATTGAGATTTTTAGAGGAATTCATCTGTCTTCAATCACTTGGCTCGTTTGTTTTTGTTCATAGGACGCTGCATTATTGCATTTTCAATTCCATCATTCCTCGAAGCTGGTGATCAGACTCATAATTTAAGGATTTTGGGTTCATGGACTTCTGGGTTTCCCTCGGAATTAATTCAGTCGTTAATTTTCTTGAGAAGTCTGTTGGTTGTGAATTTTTTGCTTTAAACACTAATTTTTGATCAATCTTCTTTTGTTATATATTTTTTCAGTTTTCTACACTGTAGACTCGGGATCAATATAACATTTCTCGTAAATAACAATTCTATATAAAACATTAAAATATTTAGATTTTTAGAGGCTTCTCCTTCTCTTGATTCATCTAGTTAATTTATTTTTGTTTATGAGACACTGATTACTGCACTTTTAATTCGATCACTCCTCAGAGCTAGAGATCATGCTGGCAAGTTTTCCCACATCGTTTTATGGGACAACAGTTTCGTATAAATTCTATTCTCGAACTTCTTGGATTTTTTTCGTTTCCCTTTGAATTAATTGAGCCTGTTTTAAACACTGGTTTTCGATTTATTTTCTTTCGTTAGATTTTTCTTTAATAATTATTCAACAGTAGAGACTCTGGTTTATTATAAAATGTTTCATAAATAACGAATTTATATAAAACATATTTAGAGGGTTCTCCTTCTCTTGATTCATCTGCTTCGTTTGTGTTTATTCATGAGGCACTGATTATTGCACTTTTCATCGCATCATTCTTCGAAGCTAGATATCATGCTGACAAATTTTCCCATATTGTTTTATGGGTCAACAGTTTCGTATAAATTCTATTCTCGAACTTCTTGGATTTTTTTCGTTTCCCTTGGAATTAATTGAGTCTGTTTTAAACACTGGTTTTCGATTTATTTTCTTTCGTTAGATTTTTCTTTAATGATTATTCAACAGTAGAGACTCTGGTTCATTATAAAATGTTTCATAAATAACGAATTTATATAAAACATATTAAAATATTGCGATTTTTAGAGGGTTCTCCTTCTCTTGATTCATCTGCTTCGTTTGTGTTTATTCATGAGGCACTGATTATTGCACTTTTAATCTCATCATTCCTCGAAGCTGGAGATCATGCTGACAATTTTTTCCCATATTGTTTCATGGGTCAACAGGTTCGTATAAATTCTATTCTCGAATTTCTTGGATTTTTTTCGTTTCCCTTTGAATTAATTGAGTCTGTTTTAAACACTGGTTTTCGATTAATTTTCTTTCGTCAGATTTTTTTAAAATAATTATTCAACAGTAGAGACTCTGGTTCATTATAAAATGTTTCATAAATAACGAATTTATATAAAACATATTTAGAGGGTTCTCCTTCTCTTGATTCATCTGCTTCGTTTGTGTTTATTCATGAGGCACTGATTATTGCACTTTTAATCTCATCATTCCTCGATGCTGGAGATCATGCTGACAATTTTTTCCCATATTGTTTCATGGGTCAACAACATTTTTTTGTTTCCCTTGGAATTAATTGAGTCTGTTTTAAACACTGATTTTTGATTAATTTTCTTTCGTTAGATTTTTCTTTAATTATTATTCAACAGTATAGACACTGGTTCATCACAACATTTTTCTTAAATAACGATTTTATATTAAATATATTAAAACATTGCGATTTTTGGAGAGATTTATCTCTCTGGATCCATGTGATTCATTTATTTTTGTTTATGAGGTACTAATTATTCCAGTTTTAATGCCACTCCTCGAAGTTGGAGATCATGTTGACAATTTTTTTCATAATCTTTTATGGATCAACGATTTCAGATAAATGCCCCTCCTGGACTTCGTGGACTTTTTCAGAATTTTTCATTTTTTTTGGTTATTTGGTTTATTTTCTTTTGGTTATTAACATTTCGCTTTTAACACCGGTTGTTGAAAAATTCTGTTTTTTTAAATATATTTCTTCCTTTTTCTTAATTGATTATTTAACAGTATAGACTCTGATTCATCATAACATTCGTGATAACTAATCCTTCTATATATAATATATTAAAATATTGCAATTTTTGGAGGGATTCTCCTCTCCTGATTCACTTGGTTTGTTTGTATTTGTTTATAAGGCACTAATTATTGCACTTTTAATTCCATCACTCCTCGGTACTAGAGATCATGCTCACAATTATACTCAATCATATATTCTTTTATAGATCAATCAGTTTCAGGTAAATGGGATTCTTGTTTTCAACTTCTTCTCCTTCGTGATTATTTTTCAGTTCTTTGGATATTTGTACTGACGTTTGAGAAATCTTAGACGTTTGCAACGGCTGGAATGATATCCATGTATATCTCGATTCCACGCAAAAAGATGTTTTTGTTTAGGTATTCATCATGATCGTGGAGCTTAATTCGTGTGTTGTTCATTGGTGAGAAACAGATTGCTGGAATACCAACCTGTGGATAGATACGGAATTGATAATATTTGAAGCTTTTGGAAATGGGTGACATGGACTACTAAAGAACAAAGTCAACGTAATTTTCGAAAATATCAAACTAGAAAATATTTCCAATTTTGTTTTATAAGGGGCCGAATTAAATGTGGACGTCCTAGTTTCCGAGATATTCACGTTTTTTCTCAGCAACTCCAATTTACACCAATGTTAAATTGTTCTTTGACCCTATGAGGACCATTTTGGACTCAAAACGTGCGGAATGTCAGCAATATTATTAGAGTATACATAACTCCATATGGAAAGTGGTCCCTTTTTATGCGGACGTCCACAACTCATCAATATCTTGGCGTTAATTTGAAGTAATATGAAAAGTGATTTGAATCTCGTCATCAGTATCTCGAATTGTCTCAATTTGAAGTAAAATGAAGTAAAAAAATGTCTTCAGTGTTCAATTAGCAATTGAAATTGTTTCCAACACTACTTTTTTCAAAATAAAATCACAATTACTGAATACTGAATATTAAAGTGAATGTCCCAGTAGTTGAATGTTGTGGTGAGTAACTAAATGCTTAGGCCCAGTAGTTGAATATACAAATAGAAAATCATAACTTTGAATGGGAAAAAAATTAACTTTGAAAATGTCAATTTGGTCCCTTGAATGGACATTCAAGATTTGGTATCAAATAATAAATTCGAGGTATCAGGAATTATGTTGAATGTTCGAAAAAACTTCAGCTACTGGGACAGAGCCAGACACTGGGACATTCCCCTTGCTTAATTTGTCACTTTTGATGCCTTTGAAATTGTAAACTGCCATGAAAATTTCGATTAATAATTCGAATAAATTTTTGATTAACTCTACTAACTTCTAATGAGTAGAGAAAGGTCTGGCAATATAAATCGTCTTGAATGCTCAATATCTCGTGACAAAATGCTGCGACTTCGGTTAATTAGGTCTGATTTTATGGGGAGACCTAGGTGCCTTGGTGCCTTTGTCTATATTGCTAATGAGTCCTAATGACTTTAGTGTTAATGTAATAAATTGAGAAAAAATTAGATTTTGGGTTTTTTAGGATCAGAAAGAATCTTTGGAGGAATGTAATATTCAAAAGTGCACACGCGACGAAATTCTCAACCGACTGACTCAAATTTTGGTTCACACATACGCAATATGTAGACAGAGAAGGTAAATGAGCGTTTTTGAAAATTTTGATTTTCCGTGTTTTTGGTTTTTTTTTCTCAAAATTCGTTGAGGTAAAGAATTTGAAAAGTTAGTAATATTCAACGACATCATAACTCGTTGAAATAGGCTTTTTTTTCAGATTTTTCTAATCATTTATTCAGAATATAAGAAGAAAAATGATGAAAAAATCTGAAAAAAATTATACTTCAAGGATTTACTATATACTTCAAAGAACAATTTCAAAAACTGAAAAAATGAAGATTTTCGAAAAGCCTGATTCATTGATTGAAATTGTATTCAGTGTACATTATGTTGTACAAAAAAAAGAACGAAAAGGAAAAATGCGGCTGAAAAAGCGAGAAAAGTCATACTATCAGCAAAATAGTTACACAAAAAAAGAAGGGCAGTATGAAAGGAAATTTGTGAGCATCTAGGGGTTATCCCTGAAGTATTCACAGAGGGCTATCTTAAAGGATACCAGAGAGAAGCTATCTCAAATGGACGAAGGAATGGCATTTCAGAGATAAGCCGCATACACTTGAAAAGAGCGGCGCATGGATTCTGTTCTAAAAGGCCTAATTAACATTCATTTCACCTCATTTAGCTATATTTATGCATATAGTCTGTTTGTGTAAAACAAAATTCAAGTCAATCGACCGAAAATTGCGTCATGGACGCCACTTTTGAAGCTTCACTCAATGAAAATAATCAAAACCTAATTTTTTCATTAAAACTGAAGTAGTAAACTCGTCAACATCAGAGTTTCACTCTACCACTCTCGAATTATTGACAATTAAAAAGACGAAATGAGTGATTTATTCTTCAATTTCGATATTTAACTATCGAAATGACATATTCGAGGAATAAAAAATAAATACCTGACGAACGTAGCGACTGTCAGTGCCACCAGGGAATGTTCCATTCATCAGATTCAGTCCCAACTTATCACAGGAACTTTTGAAGGCAAGCCAATAAGGATTGGAATCGTCCAGCTTGGTGCTCTCGATTCTTGGGTTTTTCTGCTCGAATGTGATTGTTACGCCCTCGCCAGCCTCCTTGCACCATCCCAGAATCTTCTGCTCCATCTCTTCGTGGTCAATAGTCGGAGGAATTCTCATGTCGAAGACGGCGATTAGTTCCTCCGGAATGACATTTGTCTGGACACCACCCTGTTGATGCATTAAAAATTCTCTTGATAAAACTCATTTTTTTTCTGTCAGTGCAAGCGGAAATGACAATTTGACCAGCGTTGGTTTTATTGCAGTCCAAATTACTCTGATCCATCATTGAGTTGATTGATTACACGCACGAAAAAATTTAATAGAAAAACCTATCGAATTCGTTAGAAAATTCTATTGAATTTCTATTAAACGTTCTATTAGTTTTTGGCTGATTCTATTGACATGTTCAATAGAAAACATTCAATAGAAAAAGTCAACAGAATTCGATTTTTCTATATAACTTATTCTTTTCATATATTTTCTACAGAATTTTCTCGACTCAAATTTTCTAAGTTTTTTTCATTCTATTTTTCTTTTCTTCTCATCAAGAAAATCAAACGAAAAAACTTAGAAAATTTGAGCCGAGGAAATTCTATAGAAAATATCTTAATAGAATAAGTTATATAGAAAAATCGAATTCTGTTGACTTTTTCTATTGAATGTTTTCTATTGAACATTTCAATAGAATCGGCTAAAAACTAATAGAACAGTTCAATAGAAATTCAGTAGAATTTTTTAACGAATTCAATAGGTTTTTGTATTAAATTTTTTCGTTTGTGTAATTATGGAGTTGAACATCATTAACATTTGAGGAATATCCTCAACGCGATTTTTGTTCAAAATATAATTCAGACGGTATTGCTTTAATCTTTAGATCCAATTTTTTATCTATTTAGTGAATCGTGAGGCGAGACAAGGAATGATACAAATCTGCACAGTATTATCACAAGTGTCTCTTATCGTCATAGAAATAATTAAACGAGTTCCGAATGAATACTTACGCTCATCCAATCTGTAGAGATTATTGGAAATGTTTATCGCACAGACATGTTGAAAAAAAAAAAGAAAATAAAGACGAAATTGTTTGAAACAAATTGAAAATTCGTGGACAGTTGTAATCACTTTCAGAAGAGCGACATTAAATTCGATTGAAGAGAAAGGAAATCGTGAAATTTCAAAGCTTGGGACAGCAGCAAAATGGAAATTTACTTTAATTTTTCAGATTTTAAATAATTTTTATGGAGTAATACAATTGAAATTTAGAATTTCCATTGATTTTTTCAATAATTTTCAATTACGAAATTTCTTAAACTTCCGATAATACGATAACTTGCTGAAAATTTTCAAAAAATTTACCGGGAATTCTAGGCAAACTTTTGAAACAGTTTTTGCTCAATATTCACATTCGGTTCATGATCTTGAAAACGAAGGAGGATAGTATAAATTTTGTATATAGACAAGATACTGTGAAACAATCACTTTTCATTTTCTTCTAGAATGTTAATAACTCATTCAATTGTTGATAAAATGGGATCATTTCTATGTTATGCAAAGTACGGTGCGATGAGCTTGGGCTGGACTCAATTCATTAATTGGTTCAGTGTTCTGAATAAATTAGATAGGGAGAGTTATCTTCCTCATTTTGATAAAAATTTTACTGAACCAACCCCAATTGATTATTCAGAAATAAAATAGAGAATGTGCACTGAATTCAGGTGTTAGCTTGTGGCTATATGGAACACGAAGTTTCAAATTTGCCTGGGTACCCCAAGATTTTCCTAGGGCATCGCATTCAGTATATTCCTTCACATTGGCCTCTATTTTTATTTTTATTCTTGGAATCTTCCAGCAGTTCAATCATCAATTTGAAAATAAAGTCCTCAAGAGCCCGTGTATAAGAAGAAATATTTTTCTTAATCATCAGAAATATTGGTTTCACATATTCCCCAATCAATTTAAAAAATTGAAGAATTTTCTTCGACGATGAAAAAATTAAATTGTAGGGACATGGGTATCCTTAAGAATTTTGCTCGTTTCCCTCTGCTAAAAAATTCTGGGGCAAATTCCCTACCTCTTTTAACATTCAAAGATGCCTTTTAAAAACCCATCTTGGAGTTAAAACGTCGGCTTATTTCCGATTTCACCACCTCATTAACGACTACAAGTGTAAAGCTGGCACTCGATGATATTCAGTCGATAATGATCAGATCGATATTTACCTTCAGCTGATTGAGATTGATGGACAATACGTCGCCAGGTAGGGTCTCCACCTTGAGTTTGGCAGCCTCTTGAGCTCTCAAGTCCATAAATCGATCGATGATAACACGTATCTTCTGACCAGCAGTGTTTGGTAATAACAAAGAGCCATGTCCGGGTTGGCCACGACAATGAACCCACACGTGCCAAATCGATCTTTCACCATTGAACATGTAGAATGTCTCGGTGGGCGATGCACAGCCCTCGTCCAGGGCGAATCCAACGTTCAGGGCTTTGAAGTCATCTGTGTGGACGAACTTCTTCATCCCCAGGACACCGCCGATCTCCTCGTCAGGCACGAATGACATGTGGATTGTTCTCTTGAACCTCTGACCGTTCTGCTTCAGTCGTCTCACTGCCTCGAGGTATTGAATCCCCACGCACTTCATGTCTTGGGCACCACGAGCATATATGTCTCCCTTCTCGTCCATGTAGGCGTCGAATGGGGGGTGGGACCATTTGTCCTGCAGAGTGAAATTCAATTAATCCCTTGATTGATAATTTTTCAATTCAAATAAATGATGAGGCACTACAATTCATTAAAAAATCCTGAAATATAGACTTGATCGGAAATTCTCACAATTTTTCGGAAAAATTATTGTTTTTATGTCATGATTAATTTTATCGTGAAAATCATGAAAAGAAAGTTCGAATTGTCCATGTAGGCGTCGAATGGGGGGTGGGACCATTTGTCCTGCAGAATGAAATTCAATTAATCCCTTGAGTAATCATTTTTCAATTCGAATGATGAAGCACTACAATTCATTAAAGAATCCTGGAATATAGACTTGATCGGAAATTCTTACAATTTTTCGGAAAAATTATTGTTTTTATGTCATGATTAATTTTATCGTGAAAATGATGAAAAGAAAGTTCGATTTGTTCATTTCCATATTCATTGAAAACTGGCTAATATTCAAAATCGAGTTAAACCGATTGACGACTTCGCTACTGAATTCTTTTCCCAAGAAAATAATTCCTTGGCAAAAGTAATTTTTTCTCAGTGTTCCACGACACAAAGAAGCTCATGGAAAACTCGGTGTCTCCATACAATCCTAAAATATTTACGAAAAAGTGATTCGAACTCAAATTCCCTCATCCCCTCTCACAAATTCTGCATTCTCAGACTTCCACGGACGAAAAAATTTAATTTTCAATAGAAAATATTCAGTAGAAAAAGTCAATAGAATACAATTTTTCTATATAACTTATTCTATTGAGATATTTTCTGTAGAATTTCCTCGGCTCAAATTTTCTAAGTTTTTTCGTTTGATTTTCTTGATGAGAAGAAAAGAAAAATAGAATGAAAAAAAACTTAGAAAATTTGAGACGAACAAATTCTATAGAAAATATGTGAAAAGAATAGGTTATATAGAAAAATCGAATTCTGTGAACTTTTTCTATTGAACATGTCAATAGAATCAGCCAAAAACTAATAGAAAGTTTAATAGAAGTTCAAGAGAATTTTCTAACGAATTCGATAGGTTTTTCTATTAAATTTTTTCGTGCGTGTCCTTCTCACAAATTCTGCATTCTCGACTCTCTTCCAAATAATCTGCCCACAAATAAGCGTCTAGAATCCCCGACTTAATCCCTTCAACAACCACTTCCAAAATACCCCCAAAAGTCATTTTAATATCTCACAAACTCTTAGAAAAAGTCAATAGAATACAATTTTTCTATATAACTTATTCTATTGAGATATTTTCTGTAGAATTTCCTCGGCTCAAATTTTCTAAGTTTTTTCGTTTGATTTTCTTGATGAGAAGAAAAGAAAAATAGAATGAAAAAAAACTTAGAAAATTTGAGACGAACAAATTCTATAGAAAATATGTGAAAAGAATAGGTTATATAGAAAAATCGAATTCTGTGAACTTTTTCTATTGAACATGTCAATAGAATCAGCCAAAAACTAATAGAAAGTTTAATAGAAGTTCAAGAGAATTTTCTAACGAATTCGATAGGTTTTTCTATTAAATTTTTTCGTGCGTGTCCCTCTCACAAATTCTGCATTCTCGACTCTCTTCCAAATAATCTGCCCACAAATAAGCGTCTAGAATCCCCGACTTAATCCCTTCAACAACCACTTCCAAAATACCCCCAAAAGTCATTTTAATATCTCACAAACTCTTAGAAAAAGTCAATAGAATACAATTTTTCTATATAACTTATTCTATTGAGATATTTTCTATAGAATTTCCTCGGCTCAAATTTTCCAAGTTTTTTCGCCTGATTTTCGTGATGAGAAGATAAGAAAAATAGAATGTAAAAAAATTTAGAAAATTTGAGTCGAACAAATTCTATAGAAAATATGTGAAAAGAATAAGTTATATAGAAAAATCGAATTCTGTTGAGTTTTTCTATTGAACATGTCAATAGAATCAGCCAAAAACTAATATAAAGTTTAATAGAAGTTCAAGAGAATTTTCTAACGAATTCGATAGGTTTTTCTATTAAATTTGTTCGTGCGTGTCCCTCTCACAAATTCTGCATTCTCGACTCTCTTCCAAATAATCTGCCCACAAATAAGCGTCTAGAATCCCCGACTTAATCCCTTCAACAACCGCTTCCAAAATACCCCCAAAAGTCATTTTAATATCTCACAAACTCTTAGAAAAAGTCAATAGAATACAATTTTTCTATATAACTTATTCTATTGAGATATTTTCTATAGAATTTCCTCGGCTCAAATTTTTCAGGGTTTTCGCATGATTTTCTTGATAAGAAGAAAAGAAAAATAGAATGAAAAATACTTAGAAAATTTGAGTCGAGCAAATTCTATAGAAAATATATGAAAAGAGAAAGAGAAATAAGTTATATAGAAAAATCGAATTCTGTTGACTTTTTCTATTGAATTTTTTCTACTGAACATGTCAATAGAATCAGCCAAAAGCTAATAGAAAGTTTAATAGAAAGTCAATAGAATTTTCTAACGAATTCGATAGGTTTTTCTATTAAATTTGTTCGTGCGTGTCCCTCTCACAAATTCTGCATTCTCGACTCTCTTCCAAATAATCTGCCCACAAATAAGCGTCTAGAATCCCCGACTTAATCCCTTCAACAACCGCTTCCAAAATACCCCCAAAAGTCATTTTAATATCTCACAAACTCTTAGAAAAAGTCAATAGAATACAATTTTTCTATATAACTTATTCTATTGAGATATTTTCTATAGAATTTCCTCGGCTCAAATTTTTCAGGGTTTTCGCATGATTTTCTTGATAAGAAGAAAAGAAAAATAGAATGAAAAATACTTAGAAAATTTGAGTCGAGCAAATTCTATAGAAAATATATGAAAAGAGAAAGAGAAATAAGTTATATAGAAAAATCGAATTCTGTTGACTTTTTCTATTGAATTTTTTCTACTGAACATGTCAATAGAATCAGCCAAAAGCTAATAGAAAGTTTAATAGAAAGTCAATAGAATTTTCTAACGAATTCGATAGGTTTTTCTATTAAATTTGTTCGTGCGTGCCCCTCTCACAAATTCTGCATTCTCGACTCTCTTCCAAATAATCTGCCCACAAATAAGCGTCTCGAATCCCCGACTTAATCCCTTCAACAACCACCTCCAAGATACCCCCAAAAGTCATTTTAATATCTCCAAAACTCACAGCATAAACTGGAACAACATCCATATGGCTGTTCAGAAGAATAGCCGCCGCTGCAGGATCAGTTCCTGCCCAAGTGATCACGACGATTGGTTTCTTCTTGTAATGCTCATACACTCTGAGGGGCAGGCCCAGGGACTCTGCCTGTCGGCGTAGGAACGCCACGCAATCATCTGAGAATCCACCACATCAAAAATAAACGCCTGAACCTCATCATTAAAACTGCTAAAGCCCTCAAAACCCGAGTAATTGATTCGTCCAACAAACATCATACGATCAATTTTCCATTGAGCCCCAATAAATCTAAATAACCGAATGGGGCGGGGCTATGCAAGTATGGCACGACGTAGCGTCTCTCGAGTGACAGACGCTATCCCCTCGATCAACCTGTTTTACGACCCTTATCTCTCGGCACTAATTTCTCTCAGCGTGACTTATGACTCTAGATAAGAATGACAAACTAATCAAGAAATCCCCAATTCCTCATTCACAAAAGAAAAAGAGCATCAAGATTTTCTGAAGCATTTCCCCTCTGAAATAATCACGAAAAGCCATAAAAACCGTATGAACCCATTCAGCAAATTGAGCTTCAATTACTGGAAAAAGGAAACGTGTAATAATCGTCTAAACGAGCCTCTATTCTCCAATAGAACGGCCGATTAGGGTCATTTCACTATTTATAACGCACCCCGAGCAAGCAGGCTTTATTTCACATCTCCATCAGCGGATTTATCACAAGAAATCGGTGGAAATGGACACATTTCACGGCTCACGAGACCAAAACACCTTCAATTAAATGATTTTAATGGACTCACCGTAATTAACATCTGGCTGGACCGAGGGTATACGCAGATACTCTCGAAAATTCTCTACAGCTGTTTCGTCCAGCTGAGTCTGAGAAGGTAAAGAAGACATCGTGGCGTGTGTGTATCACTCGGTGTGTGTGTGTGCGTGTGAAAGTGTTGAACCCCCAGCGCTTGCGTGTCCACTCGCAGTTGTGTGGTGGTTGTATTTTAGAGTGCTCAATCCAGCTGGTTTTCCAAGATATTTGAGGTGTTGTCTTGTCGAGTGGTGGTGGCTCTATGACTGCCACGATTTCACGGTTTGAAGTCTGCACATGCCTAACGCCTCGTTTATTACACGTTCGGATTGTACGCCCGTATATAAGGGAATAGATATCACTCACACATGTGCAGGGCTCCCTGATAAGCCGATCGGCCGTGACAACCGCATCCCGGCGGTTTCGAAAGCCACGGGTACGTTTAAATGCCGAGCCTCATTTTGGATTAGGGGCCCTTAGGGTTTTGCAGGATGATGTATTGTTTGAAATGATCGTCTCACAGGGATTTTATGATAATTATTATCTCTTTATAGTAGGAAAATTCAAATTGACTTCGAGTGATGAAAATTTGTTACTCGAAATTAAGGGTCAAGAGGGTCAGAATAAGGGCCATAAGGGTCATAATAAACGTTACGAGGGCTAGAACAAGGGTTGGATGGATCTGATTAAGAACCGAGATTATGAATGGTAAGGGTCGCAAGATTCAGGGTCACAGGAGTCAGATTAAAGGCCCTAATAAGGGTAACAAGGATCAGATTAAGGGTCTAAATAAATGTCACAAAGATCTGATTGAGGGTCACAAGGGGCAGAGTAAGGCTCCAAATAAGGAACATGGGGATCAAAAGCCGAGGATTTAAAACTAAGGGGCAGCAGGTTCAAAATAAGGGTCACGAGGGTTATAATGAGGGTCTGACTCAGGATCCAAATGAGGGTCACAAGGGTCAGATTAAGGATCACAAATGTCAGATTAAGGGTCAAAATAAGGGTCACGAGGGTTATAATGAGGGTCTGATTCAGGATCCAAAAGAGGATCACAAGGGTCAGATTAAGGATCCAAATAAGGGTCATGGGGGTCAGAAGGTAAGAATCACAAGGGTCAAATTAAGGGTCACAATATCTCTCTATATTGTAAAAATGCAATTCGAATTTTGGCGATGAAAATTTGGCACTCGAAATGAAGACTTCAAAATTAAGGGTCAGAAATGAAGGGTCAATACGTTGTCAAACTCCTAGCATTCCATTTATATCTTCCATATATTCATGAAATGTTTACATTTCTTCCAATGGCTGTGAGTTATTCATTGAATATAATTTCAATTGGAAGTTGTTTTAAATGCGTTATCCGACCGTGATTTGGACACAGTGAAGGAGATAATCGACCTTGCGGTCACATGAATGAGTGAACTTATTGTAACTTATTGTTTGTCACTTATTACGAAAAAAGCCTACGTTTAATTGAAAGATTGGGGTTTACTTGTCCTGTGGAATATTCCATCCAATGGAAAAATATTTCAAAGAAGAAAAGAAAAATATTCCGAGATATTTCTATCCATCATTCACTCACGAGGAGACTTCCACACGGATGAAAAAATTCAATAGAAAAACTTGGCGAAGTCGTTAGAAAATTCTATTGGAATTCTCTAGGAATTCTATGGGGATTTCATTAATATTCTAGGGAATTCTAGTTAAAATTCTATTTGTTTTTTGCGTAGATTTTATTCGATATTTGATGAGAAAAAGTCAATAGATTTCGAATTTTCTGTTGAAATTTTTCTCCAGAGATTTTTTCTATTAAAATTCTTGGGCACGGATTTGCTACGTTTTTAATATTTTGTTCTGTTTTGCATTACAGGATCTGAGTGGAAAAAAAATTGGAAAATTCATATAAAAAAAAGCAAGTATTTTCTCAGAAAAAATTGCAAGAGAATATACGTATAGAAAAATTGAAATCTATCGACTTTGTCCTATCAAATATTCAATAAAATCTGCGGAAAACACAAATAGAATTTTAACAAGAGTTCCCTAGAATTTTAATAGAATCCCAATAGATGTTCTAGAGAATTCCAATAGAATTTGCTAGTCAATTAGCTATGTTTTTCTATTGAATTTTTTCATACGAGCAAGCCCTGTTGGCCAAACAAATCGTCAGAATAAGTTTACGACTGGAACAAGTTTATCCCACAGTTTGACGTGCTTTCATTCAGCCATCTTTCAATCAAAATTGATCGGAAGATTATTTTTATTTATTCTCATACTTAACTGAGGATTTTCTCAACTGGGCGTGGTGCAACCAGGCCTCAGAATATGAAAATTCTCAATATGAGAATGAAACTTTCATCAGTCAAGAATAAAATTCTCTACGATTTAAGAATAACATTCTGAAATTTTCAAATTCAGAATCAGAATATTCTTGCTTGAAGAGTCAAACTCAATTTCTTGCCACGAAAACTCTACAGCCACTAGATGCTTGATTCAATAATATTTTCCAGGTCATCTCCTCAAATGAATGTCATGTTGCGCTGTCACGTGGGCAATAAATTGTCCGAACGTCAGTTAATTTTAATTGAGACTGATAGGAATTTTCCGCGAGGAATGAATCCCACAAATAACACACAATGAGGAAGAATTTTCACCTCCGCCTCAGTATCACGTAGACTTATCACTGTTTATTTACGTAGCATGGTAATTATAAATCCAACATGCGACAAGGATCGTCGAAACAAGATTACAAGGGAAAGATTAAGATAAAAGTGATGGAACACATGTTTAATTTTTAATTCATAAAATTTATTTCGATTTATTAAATTTCATATACATATCATACGCCTAAATAATGAGCTCTTTACACGTTATATCATAGAACAATAATTGTAATACGGCGTTTACGATAATATAATCGAAGAACTCGTTTTATATTTATATATTCACTTCAATTAGTATCAATTATGAATCAAAGTTATCATACAATATAACACATGTGTAAGTTTACCTGTTGTTTCATATAAGTTTAGCTATAATTTTTTCACGTAGTCGTCGTATTATACATACACATATATATTAAAATAAATCGTAACAAGTGGAAAATACCGAAGAAAAAAATTTCATTTTCTTCTTCGTCTCTTCTGCTCGTATAATTTTTTTTCATTTGTCTCATGCCGTAGTACACATGTTAATTATACTTACGAAACTGTTACGATTATTTTCGACTATTTACAACACCAAGAATTGTTAATTACCAATGAACTATTATTAATATTGTTTTCTGCTGATCACTCAGTTTACTGAATGTTTAATTGAGTCATTGTGATAATTACTACGGCCGGATGACAAGACAGTCGCGTATAATAAGCCATATGACTGATCACCTCAGTAGGAATTCAAGCGAGGGAATAAAAAAGATAAATATGAAATATCGTTCATTATGACTCGTCATTATGCATCATTTTTGTTTCCTAAATAATACTTTCTTTAAAGTATCAACATAACATGCAATACTGATACTTGGCTTTAGTTCATTTTAATTACGACCTAAATTCAAAACAAAGTGAAAACGTGTATTTACATAATTGTGTTGTCACTTTCCATGAAAAACAGAGTAACGATAAAAAAATATGCTTTTTTTGTTAGCAGACGTAAGAAAAATAATATTCGAGAAGGCATATTCTGCCCCTTCCACTAGTCAGTGAAATAATTGCACGGAATTGTTTTACTGAGTGAGAGTTTGAACGATTTATGGCCGATATTACTCACTTATTAACTGTTTTCATTGTGATATTCAAGTTGAGACAGATAAAATAGCTTATCCCCCAGTTACACCTAATAATTGTTAGTGATTTCAGCAGATTTGTCATGTTGTTTGTCTTAAAAAAAATTGTCTATAGCATATTGGAGGATTTGAGACATTGCACCAAGGGCCTTTATGTATTCTACGTACCATATGTTTTATTGAAAAATTGTTAAGCCATTGAAATTATGCATTGTGTCCATGCCTATTATGCTACCATGAAGATTACTCCCCCTCTTCATGTCGATTATTATTTACAGTGTGCCTGTGTGAAGAGTACAGGTTTCGTTGCCATAGTTACATTCTATATTCAGTAATGATTTCATCTGATCTATCAAATTATACTCTATATCATTAGCAATTAATATTTTGTACATTGTTTGTATTCATAGTCAAGACGAGCTCTCATAACTTTCCATCGTTGTTCATCCCCTCATCAATATTTTTGTACCTCTCACACTCGTCCAATTTCCCCTCAGCTATTGGAATAGTGAGCTAATTTTCCTCGTGTTCTGTATTAAATTCCAGTCGTCGAGCAAATGTATATTTTGATTGAGAAAATTTTATTACTTTGTGTAATCATTTTTACAAGAATCAGATTTACTGGTGTTTAATTTTCAATTATATTAAATTTAGTGATAATTTTTTTACACTTTACTGCATTAATACTCGCAGAAAATCCCAACGGGACTCTATATTTACACATTTACATTGATCCAATTATATTTGTTTACGATCATTGTACACTGGGTAAATAGCCACATTGTGGCAAGCATTACTCATACGACCACATTTCCTCTACGTCTACACTTATCTGCGAACATTCGGATGGTCGTGGTTAAACTTGAAACATATCAATTTACTTATTGACAGTAAATAACGTTATTTTCTCTGTCACACCGCAAAAATCCGGATGTCATTCGAAATTAACGTCAATTTAATTTATCTACCGCATTGTATTCTGTTTTCTTACTGTTTCTGTCGTGGATTCGTTATCTTAAAATTTCTAAGTGATGCCTCAAAGCTCTCAACGATAATTTGTACCCATATTTAATCATCTCTTGCCAATAGTTTGATCGTTATGATTATCGCAGATCACTTTGTTCAATTACTTCGTTACTTCACTGTGTCGAGGGACAACTACTGTAGGCAAGAAAAATTACGTTTAGTTTATCAAAGATTCTTAATTTTTTTAATTTCAGTTATTTTATATTCAACATGTACCATTTATTATCAACTAAGCATATCGGGCATTTACAAGTAAATATAAAATATAGAGAATTTTTTTGTTGAAAAAATAGGGAGCAAAGGAGAGGTGGGTGTATTTCACAAATTTCATTGTGATTTTTCCATAGTATTATTAAATAAAAACATGGGAAAGTTGTTGAGCCAAATTTGTCACATCTCGTAGCACAACACATTCTAATCTTTACGGCTCACATTGTATTATCATTTATTAGAATTGGTATTCTTCACTATTCTACAGTATACGTAAATTCTACACTAATTAACATTAAATATAGTGATAACGCTTACGCTTCAGATTATCGGTATGTATATATATTCATATTTATATATATGCACTTGATATTTACATACTTTGAGGGTGCATTACTGTACACACCATATCGTTTTTCAAATTCAAAATGATAAAAGTATCAGCGTTCAATCATCGTTTTTTACGCTGAATTCCTTCCTCTCTTGAATAATTATTAAAAACTATATAAACATAAAACTTTATACGAGAATTAATGTCGCGATAACGTCGCAATGTTTTTCGTGGGTTTATCAAAAATTGTGGCGTTTGTACGAAATATAATAGTTGCGATTTTCATGTTAAGAGAAAAAATACAGACAACGATATTGACAATTCAAAACCTATAGCAGCTTGATTCAGCGAACATAAATAATATGCAAAGTAAAATGCATGGTAGACGATGGTGGGGCAAAATGGACCCTTCAGACAGTTTTTTATTTAAAATATTAACAACGCAGGAATTGATTGATCAATTGAGCTCAGACTGGGCTCAGTACAGAGAGAAAGAAGAGTTCTAGAGGTACGGGACACAGTTGATTTTCAGACGTCTACCGGCCACTCGCGTTCTAATTCGTAATTCTTGTTTTAAACAGTGAAACATGATCACTGAACGTCCGGTAAATAATCTTCAATTAGTTTTAGGCATTGGCATTAGTTATTATTAACAATTAAATTGTTGAAATCGCCATAGCACCCGAACTATGAAGAATAGACGAAAATTTTTGGATTATGAATCATCTAAAATTTAATAAGGAATAAGTTTAGTCTATTGTTAATTTCACCTATCTCTTGTAGATTCCGAGATATGAACAATAAACTAGTTCTATCTTGTTCAGATCTCGAAATTTTAAAGATATGTGAAATTGACAAGACAAAAATTATTCCTTGTTAAATGATAAATGCTTCGTGATCCGAAAATTATCTTTCATATTCAAGGAAAATTCTATAATTTTGTTGGCCGATAGCAGAACATATGAAACTAACTTCTTTGATGTTAAAAAAAATTAATTGCAGTAGTCTTGTTAGAAAGAAATAAACAAATTTTTCCTTACACACGGGCTCTTATGAGATTTATGTTGCAATTTATAATTCATCTACTATGAGACTCTAAAAATAGAAATAAAAATAGACGGTATTGTGCAAAACTATACTGAATCGAATGACCAGAAAAAAATTTGGGGTACCCGCGCAGAAAGAGAAAATATTTGAAAGATTCTATCCCATACAAGCGCATGTTAGCGCATGCGTTTGATGCATTTTATCCACCCCATTTCTAAATAATAAACGTGGGTTAGTGGATTGAAAGTTTTATCAGGATAAAGAGAATAACTTCATCTCTCAGTTGAAAAAAAAATCAATTTTTGTTAAATACTTGCGGTTTTGGATAAACACCCTTAATAGTTTAGGCACCAGGGCGAATTGAACAATGAAATTGTTGATAATAAACACTTGCAATACCTAAAATTGATTGGAGATTGTTTACTTGATGTTTGTGATCATATTTAATTATTCAGAAAAAAAAATTACGCATTCGAACGCAAGTGGTCGGTCGGTCAAGCTCTATTCCTTTCAAGGAAAAAAAAATTATTTCTGTTGCGTCCGTTGTGCCCCTTCGTCCCTTAATATTAACCGAGAGCCCGAATGACACATTGTGAATTGAGTATAAATGTTGAAAATCAATGGATTCTCTACGATCTCGCTGGGGGATGGGTGTTACTGAAATAGGCTTTTTGGGGTGGAACGACGGTGGCGGGAGGGAGGGTGGAGGGTGG